AATTGTAGGACTCAATCTTTTGCTAATAAAGTCAAGAGTGTGGCTTTCTCTATGACCGTCTACTTCCTAAGGCAGACTAGAAACAAGAGTTTATTTCAGGCCTTCCAGTGTGGGTGTAGTGGTTGCTGTCATCAATGCAATGCAAAAGTTTACTGACTGGAGACTTACTTTCCCCTTTATTACATTAACATTGGTGGTCTTATGCACAAAGAACATCCAAGATTTTTTTGTTTAATCGCATCTAATGCTAGAATAAGCAAAATCCAGCACCTAATGTGGTGTAGCCGGGCAAGCAATCAAAAAGAAAGGGAGTTTAAAGAAGACAAATCCGAGAAAAAAGAATGGATGGTAAGTCAAAATTATCTTTCTTCTATTGAACTATACTTTTGTCCAATTAAAAGAAAAGAGTTAAGTTACCAAGAATTATTCCATGAACCATTCAAAATAGTGCATCAAAATTAATTGTTTGGCATCTGGATGTTCGGCTTGAAATGGAAACAGACTATATTCTACATGCAATGTTAGGCAAGATACCAAAAATAGGTTGGGCTATATACTTAAAGGTACATAAGTATGGGTTATATAAAAAAAAAGATCAAATATTAAAGCTCTGTTTGATAACCCAATTCAACACTTAAATTTAATGGATTCAAATCTTAACACATCCAAACCGTTTGATAACCAAAAATTGAACATCTGAATTAATTAAGTGATACTGAATTTCCTACGCAAAATTTGCTCCCAAAATTAAGTGATAAGTTATTCACTTATCACTGAATATGATATGCACTTAAATGTATTAGTTTTAATATTTAACAATCCAATAATTTAATGAATTCAGACTTTACATTTCAGATTTCAAACTTCAGTTTTTAAATTTTAATTTTATCAAACGCATCCTAAATCTTTGACACAAAAGAAGAAACAAGAAAAAACCTTGTGCTGGGAACTTTAAATATTGTCTAAAGTTGTATGTAGATTTGATAAGCTCTTAAAGTCTCAAGAAGTGATGCACGTTAGACTTTCATAGCCTTGAGAATTTTGTTTTGTGGTTTATACACCAAAAAAAAAAAAGGTCTCACGGCTATGAAAGTCTAGCGTCCAACACTTCTCTGATCATTGAAAGTTTGTAGTTACTTCGGAAAAGTGTAGATGTTAAAATGCTTATGGACAAAATGTCATTAAATGCTATTTTGCAAGTTTACTCGGTTGTCTTGATTTAAAAGTGATATAACTCTTCTTTTTTGCAATTTTGTTTCATGATTTCAACGAACAATTATGCATAAGTTGATTTTCAAAAATATCAACATCTACAATAGGAATTCACAATTAGTAAGGCCTGAAACGACTGGAGATTGCATTGTGTGAAAATGCTAACATTTTGCATAACCAAATTTACAAGGAAAAAGGAAAAAAAAAAGAAGACAAATTGAGAATGGAGCACGTTAAATTGCTAACGTGAGCTCATAGTATTTCAGCTTTTGCTAACGTGAGCTTTGTAGATTTCACCATTGTTGAGCAGGTTGGAGAAATTTTCCCAGCTCTCTGTATATGTTGATATGAGGAGACAGAGATGTGTTCCCTTTGCCATTTTTCATTCTATATAATTGGTGTAAAGTTTGCTTTTACTGCATTCAAGTCCTTCTTTCCTGTGTTTGTTTGAGATCTCTTGAACCTCCCCTGAGGTAACCTTTGATGATACAGATTGATTGAAAAAAATAAAAAACAGAGAAAAAGCTAAAAGCTGTAACAATGGGCAAGAAAAGCACCAAGACTAAGAAGCCAAAGAGTTGGATCCTCAGAGAAAAGCCATAACAATGGCAATCGCAAAACATGGTGAAAAATTTATTCTATTGTTTATCATGGAATTATGTGTCACATATAGGACACCCTTGAAAACTATCTAGCCCAAAAATTGAAAAAAAAATGTCGAGATCAAAATTGATGTTGATTTTTGGTGACCAGAACAAGTTCAAATTGAATTATGAATACATAATTGGTTTTGCAATTTTATAGTGGTTCGACACATTATTGCTTTTAAGTGGTCAATGTGACAGTTCTACGTGTTATGTATATTTGCTTTTAAAAGGTCAGCGTGACAATTTTAGTTGTTTTTATGAATGAATTTGCTTCGCGATGGTATAAAAACAGTTACCATATGGTAACAGGACTACAGGTTTCGTATAACCTTTTAAAATGCTGAAAGGTCTTGTATAATTATCAGATTGGTTATTTATGATTTTTAATAGAGTTAGTTATTGCACAAGAAAAATTTTCCATTGGTGGTTATTCTAGGGACACCATTGGGTCCTCGCAATGCCAATGAATTTAGATGTTCGCAAGTATAGTCTTAAACAAGAAGGAGAATAAATTCCAGATTTGATATGATTTTTGGTTAGCGACTAGCATCAAGATTCAAGAATAAATTAATTCCAAAAACCAAATTGCGATACTGCCCGAACTTGACATCTGGGAAGGAAATCGTATTCAAATTGATCGATATTCTTCTGAAATAATGCTGAAAAAACTTCCATTGCTAGCATAATCATGTGCGAAGAGATTCAATTTCCAGCCCAAGTCCTTTCTCTTGTCCAAAATGGCCAACAAATAATTCACTGATATTCACCGAAACATTGGCATTAGTAATACAACTAGTTTATTTCCGTGCATTTGCATGGACACTTTTTTATGTTCTATAATTTTTATCTTTTCGAACAAAAATTGTTATAAAAGAACTTAAAATGCTATTTTATAAAATTTAATATACTAATTGTATGACAAACATTAAAATTAAACATATTAAGTATGGTTAATTTATAATAATTTAATATTAGTTTCAATCAAATATTATTTCATAATTCAATTATTTTGCTCTAATTAACCGTGCCAAGTCAACATATGAGTAAAGTAGATATATTAGGAAATAAATGTTATTAAATATTTGATTCTTTCACGACTAAAAAGAATTTCAAAAACAAATCAATAGACGATGAATTTATTATTTGCTCAAATTATTAAAAACTAAGAAAAGTAATTTGGGAGAACTTTTACAACCCCATGTTCATATGGATATGACTTTGCCCTAAATCGAATTTGAATGGAAGGAGTATAAAATTAATAGAATAATTTAGGAAAGAATGGCTATTTATAAAATTTAAATGTATCCTTTTTAAAATTTGAGTGGACTTGTATGAATAACATGCTAAAATTGTTTAATATAGATTCATTAAAAAGTGAAAATTGTCAAAACTTTAGAATTATAAATAAATAATCAAGTATAATAATAGTGATAGAGTAAAAATAATTGAAGAAAATTATGAAAAGAAAATTATGAAAAAGATATAATTAATGTAAAAGTATATAAATTAGTAAATTAATATATTGAAATTTACTACAAATAAAGAAGTATAGGATCATAAAAAATAAAATTTTGTCCATATTTTAGTAATAGTAGTAAATAATCAATATAACTGCATGTAAAATTGGGAATTAATAAATTGAAATTTACTATGAATAAGAAAGTATAGAATAAAAGTTTTTTCAAAGTTTAGTAATGATAATAAATTATCAATCCAATGCTAGGGATAGAGATTGCAATTGTAGAGAATTAAAATAGGAAAACTATTGACAAAAAAATAAATTAAGGCATAAATTATAAAAACATATATAAAATAGGTAGTTGATAGATTTTTGAGATTTACTATAAATAAGGGACTAAAAAATGACTGAAATTTATTGTCATAAAAAATATATAAAGAATAAAATCTACAATAAAACATAAGCAAACACATTTCTTTCATATGATAAAAAGATAAAATTTCAATTTGATAAAATACAATTAACTTAGCAGCTTACTAGAATGGGAAGATATATATAGCAATTTACTAGAATGGGAATATGTATATATATATACATATATATATATATATATATATAAATGAATCTTCTAAAGACGAAGGTGTAGAGAAAAACTATCTACATGAGCATTAATGCAGCATATTTTGTCCAAATTTTAGTAATAGCATAAAAAATTAAATGAATATTAGGAATAAAGAGCATAATTGAAAATGATTAGCAAAAGAAAGATGTGAGTTGATTGAAAAAAAATAAGAAGGGTACAATTAATATAAATTTATATAAGGTAGGTCATTAATAGATCTATTGAAATTGGCTATAAAAAAGAAATCATGCTATAAATGAATTAAAAAATAAGAAAATTAATTATTACCAAAAAAACAGAAAAAAAGAATAAAAAAACATAAACATTAAAGACATCCATATGGCGAAAAGATAGATAGTCCATTTAGAAGAAGGTTAGAGTAATCAACTCAACAATCTATCCAAAAATGAGCATTATTTTATAATATACACGCACATATATTATCAATCCATTTGGGGAACCTTGGAAGGGAGTTCATAGCATTTATTAATAGAGCGTGCTCTATGTCCAAAATCTATCACCCTATTAATTGGTAATCTCCAATTTGAATTTTAAGATTATTTTAAGTACCCTAGACGGGATCAAATATATACCCGTCCTGTGAAAAGCAAGATGATTATAAAAAGGACATTCCTCCAATCCAGTTTGAGGTTGAGCTAGCCATCACGTGCTTGTTTCGATAATCATGATTAGCAATTTAGCATAAAGTGTTAAGTTGCATTTAAAAAAAAAAAAAACAAAGGACGATCACAAAATCTATTCATGCAGAATTCACAACTAATCATAATTAAAAATAGTATTTATTCAACTTGTAACAGTGTCCTACAATGACACATAATACTTTTATCATTCAGTTGTGACAAATGATTTAAAGTTTACAAGTATAGCAGACGACGTCTTGCTCACATGCTGAAAATTCGGCCCACTATTCACCTCTGAGCTTCTTAGGCCTTTATTTATAACATAATCTATCTGATCCGAAGTTTGCATTTTAGAATGTATGACTAAATTCAAATGACAGTGTAACTGTGGAAGTGATGTATAGGTTCAGGGTTAAGCGATGAGTAAATTCTTTCCAAGTGACAATGAAGGTAGATTGTGGTAGAAATGACGGTGAACTCATATTCAAGAAGAGGAATTGTATTTGTTAATCCCCTCCCCTTGGATGGCGTGGTCGTCTTCTAGGTGGCGGAGGAGGTGGAGGTGGAGGTGGGCTCCTTTTCGGCACGGGTGGTGGCGGCGGTGATTTCTTAGGTGGTGGAGGTGGAGGTGGACTCTTTTTTGGTTGTGGAGGTGGGGGTGGGCTCTTTTTTGGTGGAGGGGGAGGCGGAGGTGATTTCTTAGGTGGGGGAGGTGGAGGTGGGCTCTTTTCTGGTGGTGGGGGTGGAGGTGGGCTCTTCTTTGGTGGAGGAGGTGGAGGGGGGTGGGTCTTTTTTGGTGGAGGTGGAGGTGAGGGTTTTCTTTGGGGAGGGGGAGGGGGAGGGAGGTGATTTCTTAGGTGGGGGAGGTGGTGGTGGGCTCTTTTTTGGTGGAGGAGGTGGAGGAGGGCTCTTCTTTGGTGGAGGGGGAGGGGGAGGTGATTTCTTAGGTGGGGGAGGTGGTGGTGGGCTCTTTTTGGGTGGTGGAGGTGGAGGTGGGCTCCTTTTAGGCGGAGGAGGAGGTGGGGGCGACCTTTTAGGCGGCAGAGGAGGTGGGGAGGCAGGTGGTGGTGAAGGTGGCGGAGGAGATGGTGGTGGAGGTGATGGGTGGTGGGGGTGATCTTCTGTTGGGTAATGGCGGGAAAAGTGGAGGTCTGATTAGTGGTGGTAATGGTTTATTGGGCGGCAAACGGAGCGGTGGCAAACGCAGCGGTGGCACGGGAATTACGTTAGCATTGGCATTTGCAACAAAGATGGCGAAAATTGCCAGGAGTTTCCACAGCGAAGCTATGTGGCTCGCCATGGTTGCTAAAAAGATGTATTTGCTACCAACTGCCTCATTTGTGGATTTATATAGTTCAGTGATGGTGAGGAATTTGCAAATTGCGTAGCTACAAAATATAGGCACGCATGCAAAATTAATTAAGTGCTAAATCTAGCTTTGGAGTTTGGTAAGCCTACCATAGATTAGATTCCAAAACGGAATTGATCCGTACCAACTTGAACATTTATTAGTTTTGTTTTAAAAGTACATGTACTAACCCCAAACTTGAATTAATTGCTCTTATTTTAGAAGTTAGCCTTATTTGGCTTAAACACTATGCATTACAAAAAATAGGAGTGAAACTTTGGAAACACATAAAATATCACAAATCTTAGATTAGGGAGTATATGTTTTATTAAAACTTTGCGAAACGTAAACAATTCATTGAATCTTTTTTAAAAAATGTTATTAACCTCCAAAATACCGAAACTGGAAGATTATAATGAAAAAAGAGATTTAACGCTTTTGTTATTATAATGAAATATCGATTTTCTTTTAATGTTGGTGAACAATCTCATTTTATTTCTCATTAAATTACCCAAACATGTCCTTAAGTGCAACAAAATCTTCAAAATAAAGCCCTATTTCGATTTTCTACATTTGTTTTCCAACTTAACGTTTGTTCAAGTCTGTTCTTTTTACTATGGCCACTTCTTTTTTTCTTGTTTTGCATTTGGTCATCATTACTAAACGTTGTCTGTATTTACACCAAATAGAGAGTATAAATCCAAATATAAAAGTGAATATTGCCAGTAGCGTAGATTCGTCATTATCCCCTTGGACTAAGTTCTTATATTAGCCACTGCTCTCCTCCATTAATTCAATTTTCACCTTAATTTCTGAATAATTAATACACACACACTATATATGAGTGCATGTATGCGTATGTGTGTGTATATGTACATATATATATGTATTTATCTATATGTACGAAGAAATCATTGAATCTTCTAGACTGGATGAGGAATTCCAAAAATACTAGCGTAGGATTCTTAATCCTGTATTGATCTTTATAACGTCCCTCAAACCCAGATGTTGTGCAAAGAAAATAAAGATGAAATCTTATTGCTGTAAAAAAAAAAAGGAAATCTTATTAAAAGAAGGATGTGGAATTTCATGATTGCTAAATTGGGATCCTTCATAGTTCATATTAATCCTGTTTAACTCTAATGCTGAACGGAAAAGCACTTATGGGATTCATTCTCTGGATTTAGGTGGGCTAATATACACATAAAGTATAGAGCAGCAAAGCAAAGATAATAAATGTCCAGCTTTTTCATGCTGTGCATGTAGCCGGGTAGTATGGAAAAGAAAGGGAGTTTGTAAGAAGACACCAAAATTTAAACAAGAAAATGGAATGAGAAACAGATTGAGTCGTCATAACTTTTCTTCTTCAACTGCATAATTTTCACTTCGAATGAGGAAAGGAATTTAGGTAACCTAGAATTCTTGCATAAACTCATAATAAATCTTGATATCAAAAACCTCCCCTAAGGTTTCTCTTTATATCACCTGGCACCCTCAAGGTTTTAAAAATATCACTTACCTCCCTTATTTTTGTTATTTGTATAATAAAATTTTTAAAAACCCTAAACTACCTTTTTACTTACTGAGTAATAATATTCCTAAACCACTTTGTTTACTTCAAGAAAACTATCACCTAAAAAACAATCTCTAGTATTACAATCACATCATAATGCTATAGCCCATAAAAATATAAATGTGAAAAATAAAAAAATATTTGCAAAGAAATATACTTGCACCAATTTAACTCTATATGCTCAAACCAATTTCTTATGAACTTTATATTTTTTTTCCAACTTCTTTTCAACCCGAGCCCAAACCTTTAAATTGTATTGATCATTATAAAAATCAACTTAAAATAAGTAAATAAATCATAACCCACTCTATCACAATCACAAAAAGTAAAAGATAAACAAACTTTAATTTATATAATTTGCAAATAAAATATTGTTAGCCATCCAGAAAATGAATGAGAGAGAATGTTAGAGAAAAGGGAAAGAGAAGAAAGTGATATTTATTTCTATTTTAATTTTTGACCTCCATTTATTTCATATGTGATCATGAGTTATGTATTAAGTAAGGGTTAATGTAGTATTTTATGATAACTAGAGGAGATAAGTGATATTTTTAAAATCTTAGAGGTGCCAAGTAATATTAGGATAAACCTCAACCGAGTTTTCTGATATTATGATGGAAGTTAAACTAAACTATTTTATTTCCTAATTGTTTTAGTTTCCTTTAAGTTCAAGAGTTGTTTGAAGACTAGTACCAGTTATTAGTCAGTTTCCTTTTCAAAGGTTTAGTCAGTGATTAGCATTAGTTTGAGTCCCAATCTAATTGAATAGTTAGTTTTCTATGTGTCATTGGTTTCCTTGTCCGAGTCTTAGTTCGAGTTTTCTTGATTCATTAGTCGGTTTGGATTTGTACTTTATAATTAAGAAACTAATTGGTCGATAAATACTAGTAGTAGTGCTAGGTTAAGTCTGGAAGAGTCAGTCAAGTCATAGAAGAGTTGAGTTAAGTCTTAAGAATGAGTTTGAGGGAAAGTCTCATAGTTAAAATTTGTGACTTGTCGTGATCAAAAGGTTACAATCTAATATTGTTATTGTTGAGTTTAAGTTAATAAATTATTGAATATTTGTTTTCTTCCTCTTTCCATATATTTTTATATGTGTTACAATTGCTTCTGCTATGCGCGCAATTTTTTGTGCCAACATATTAACCCAAAAAAAAAAAATCAACATTTTGGCATTTGGATTTTCAGCTCGAATGGCAAAAGATGATATAGGATAATCTGGCATGTTAGGCAAGCTATATACCGCAAACAGGCGGGGCTTTTTTTAAAGTTAGAATATTAACATCACTAATAACGAAAAAATTGCCGAGAATTAAACAAAACAAAAAAAAAAACCCACATTGTTTAGAGTTCTGATTTCGTGGAGTTGAATGTAGATAAAGCGGTAAGTGTCAATGCCGTAGAAGTCTCAATCTCCAAATCTCCAACACTGCTCTGATAATGAATATTCCTTGAAGTCATGATGAGACCTTGTAGAATAAAACTAGTGGTAAAATAGATTAATATGTCCACTGCATGTAGAATAAAAATGAGAAAATTTAGAATAATCCGTTGAGATTTCTTAAACTTTAGCAACAAATAATCCATTGAGTGCCATGAGACCTCGCTCCAATGTCTAAAATTGGCATCCCAAGACTTAGGGTGTGTTTAATAAAACTAAAGTCTGAAAACTGAAATATAAAACTTGAAGTTTGAATCCATTAAATTATGAATTGTTAAGTATTAAATCTGATACATTTGAGTGTATATCACATTAAGTGATAAGTTATTACTTAATTTTCGGAGTAAGTTTTGTCTAGAAAATTCAGTGCTACTTAATTAATTTAGATGTTCTATTTTTTGTTAGCAAACGCGTTTAAACAAGTTAAAAGCTGAACCTATTAAGTGCTGAATTGATTTATCAAACAAGACTTTAGAAGTCTTGAATTCCCTTTCCCCTTTTCGTTCCATAATCCTCACCCGTCCTCTACTAGAAAAAAATTTTCCAAAAAAATATTAAAACCCTAATAATTGGCGGTACTAACTCAAGTCACTCGTGACCCTTTCACTTTTTGAATCCCACTCATCTCTTAGTAAAAAATAATAATAATCCATTGAGGTTTTTTTTTAAATATTTTTTTCCATATTTTTGCTAAAACATTTCTATTCTTATTCAAAAATATTTAAGAACATAAAATCATTTGCTTTATTAGTTTTTTTATTAACATTTTTTATTCTTCTTTAATTTCCGAAAAAGTTTTCAAACTTTTTTGCAGCCGGTACTTGAGCTGTTTCAAAGTTTCATATGTCTCACTATACTACTTTTTTTTTTTTTTGTATGTGGATGTAATGTACAGCTCACGTGCAATTTCCATTTCTTTTAGACGACTCTTTGATGTTTAGTAAGCAAATTTACATGGAAAACAATGAGTTTGTTTGGGCAAAGGAAATTTGGAAAAAAAAATTTTGCCTCACAAATCCCAATCACCTTTTTATCTTCCCAATCACCTTTTTATCTCATATACATCACATCATAAAAGTGCTACAGTAAATATCTCAAATAAATCATCCAAATAAACTCTTATCCAAACAAACTCAATATAACGAGACGAGAGAGTATTTTGGAAAAATTTTGTGACCTGTGACCCACTTTACCCTTTATTATATAAAGTTTGGTGGCCTTATGTACAGAGAACATGCGAGACTAGAATAAGCAGTGCCCACCACAAAATTTATAGCGTAATTGGGCAAAAATTGAATAGAAGACAAATAAAAGAAATGAGGAGTGGATTGCTAAATTAAAATATTCTTTCTTCTAGCTGAATTATTTTATTCTTTAATAAAAAAAAAAGACGAGTTAAGTCACCTAGAATTGTTCCATTAACTCATAAAAGATAATGCATCAAAATCAATAATTTGGCATTTAGATTCTCAGCTTTAAATCGAAACAGACTATCTACAGTAATAAGCGATGTTAGGCAAGATACCGAAAATAGGTTGGGCTACTTAAAGATATATAAGTATCTATACAAAATAGATCGAGCATTGAACTTTCAAAGTTATGGAAGTCTAATTTCCAACACTTCTATGCTCATTGAAATTTTGTAGTGTTAGCTAGGAATTTTGCTCCAGAAAACTTTAAAGACTAAATTAACTTTCATATCTATTCAAATTAATGTGGTTGCTATTGTGCCGTTTGCGGCTAACTCAAGTTACG